CCATCAACGGCAAGGTTCAAGTACAAAACGAGCGTCGGCAAGAATAGCAGGAGCCGGATTGGCCAAGCTAAGCCGCAGGGCCAAGTGGTGGACTGGCCGAGTGGCACGATACCCCTCACCGAGCGGCGTGTGGCGGAGTAGAGGCCGCACGCCGCGTGGAAATACCATCTCCCAATGTGGATGACGGGCAGTCGAAGCGAGGTAGGAACAATGCAGGCGAGGAGACGGAAAATGCAAGCGGTCTGTCCCACTCCCGCGGAAGTGTGGCGGGTCCTCATTGCGGTGGCCGGATTATTCCATGGTCATGTCGTGGTTGGCAAGACAAACCGCGATCAAGGGAGAACTATGTAGGCCTGTCCAACTCCGGTAGATGAGTTAACCGTGGTCGGAGGGAGAACCACATTAGGATGACCAACTCTGGTCGACGGTAACCGTGGTAAGGCTAACGCACCACGGTAGATATGTCAATCACGTTAGGTTGGTAATCATGGTGGCAGGAAGAACACAATGAGTCGCAAACGTACTAAAGCATGGACGCAGTAAGTTGGCGGGCGACGATGAATTGCGAGCGCAGTAAGGCATGGATGCAGTAAGTCGCGGGTGACGTTGAATCGCGAGCGCAGTAAAGCGTGGACGCAGAAAGTCGATTGTGCAAGAAGGCGTGGACGCGATTAGTAGTGAGTGTGGTCAATCGCAGACGACGGTAACAGTCGCGGATGTGGTCAATCACAAACAACGAGATTGTTGAATTAACTCCGTATATTTTTACTATATCTTGTTATGGCTACGACTTAGTTCTAGTTAAATTTTGTTTGAAGAAGGATATTTTGTTAAGTTTCTATCTAGAACTTCCAGTGAAGTAATTATATAGGTTAGTGAGGTGAAAGAGATTCCTTAACACAAATTAAGCGGGAGATTGCTATATTGTTACCTCTATATTGTTATGGCTACGGCTTAAATCTAGTTAATTTTTGTTTAAAGAAGTATCTTGTGTTAGTATTTCGTCTAGAACTTCTTGCGGAGTAATAATATAGGTTACAGAGGTTACTGAGTTTCTCTTAACATGACTTAAGGAAAGATTGTTGAGGTAAACTCGTCTACAGTAGGGTTAAATATTCGGCTTCTGCTGTACATGAGGTGAGTCGTTCTCGATAGACCTTGAGTAAAAGCTGTATCGGTGTTCTTGGTGGACGTAGCACTTCTTTACCGAGGTTGGACCACGTTAAATTTGTCTCTCATGATTGATTGATGATTGTCAAATTTTTTGGTTACAATTTGATCTGTGTTATTTTGAATAAAAATATAAAGTTTTTACAATTAATCTATATATAGTATATTGAAATATAATATCGACATAATATTTGTATTTTTTATTTCATTTATCTATGTATAAATTTTTTTAATAGGTATTTTATATAATTTTTATGGATATTTTTATAATACTTAAAAATATATTGTATCAATCATTTTAGCATATATCACAATGTTCATATTACGATTTTATATTTTTCTAATATCAATCTAAGCTTAACAATTTGATTGATTTGTATTCACTTTTTTGATCATTTCAACCGATAGATAGCTATATACTTTTTTCTAAATTATTTTAATTTAAAAATAATATTTTTAATTTATTTTGCAATGTTAATTGTAACATAATACATTTCAAAATTTTTATTATGTTAAATTTCAAAATTTAGATTAAATAATAAAAATATCCAACTTTGTTTTACCTGATAATTCTCATTGAAATTTTTATTCATATTTTGAAATTAAATCATTATTTCAGTAAATGTCTAAGAAATTTTAATCTCCGCAGTTAAGAGCATATAAAGTTTCACAAATGCAATATTTTATTCATTTCACTTTTTCTTTTAATTATTCTCTTCGCCGTGATCTGAACAATCATTATGAATATCAAACATTTAAGATCAAAAACCTCATGTTGATGGTTGAAATGCTTGCGTTATTTATTTTCATTTTTGAACCATTTCATAATAAAAAATTGCATCTTAAATTTTCTTATTGCTTGTGCTTTCATTTGTCATTCAGTATGCTTTTGTTGATCAAACCTTGTGTCATCCATTTTCAAATTGTCATCAATAATCTATTGCTTGTGCTTTCATTTGTCACTTTGTATGCATTTTTTAACAAAAAATTGTGTCATCCATTTTCAAATTGTCAACTCGTCATTTCTTATTCTGTGTTAAAAAGCAAATATTTAATAATGATTTTTTACACTGCCTTTAGTCATTATGAATTGTCAATTATTGTCAAAAAAAAATCGGACTATGAATCACTTTGTGTGTTGAATGATGATATGTTCAATGCGGTTATTTGTCACTTGACATCTTAGAAATATAATATAAATAAATATAATTAAAAAATTCCTTTTGTCGATTGTGAAATCTGGATTTTGCAATTTAGTGTGCAAGCTGTTTTAAACTCTCATTGTCATACAACTGTTTTCACGTTTAATCAATTTATAAAAATGGGCATAAACCGTTTTAGAAAATTTGTAATATTCATAAGTATCCCTCTTGCTTTGCTTTAAACACAAGATGAGTTTTAAGATATACAAGTGGTACAATAGCGAAAGCTAGAGAAGTACTATGGTAATGTGAATTTTGATATACATTCACATAGTACTTCTCTAGCTTTGGAAATAGTACCTCATGTAGGTCAAGACTGACTATCATAATCACAACCATTTGTAAAGAGTAGACATTTATATTTTCCCTCCAACTTTGATTTTGATACCATTTCAAAATGAAGATTGACATTTATAGTGACAAGCATTTGTATATAATAGACACTTATGTTACTTTTCTAGCCCAAGCTATGATATCATATGTAGGCTAAGATCGACATTCAAACTGATAAGCATTTCCAAAGAGTCAACACATAAATCATGATTCGTCTTAGCAAGGTTATGTCCACATAACACGGAGGATCTTTTCTTACAATTCCTAATCTTTTTTCACACAGAATTTATGCCAGCTACCATGATTAAACTAACTAGAATTAACCAATACATGAACTGAACTTTAACACTAATTTTAACATAAAAGAGAAAAATTCACTTTAAGGTTTTAAATTGCAAGTCCTTCACTAGCTAAAGTTACATCATAATCACACTCTAAGATTGACAAGTTTAAAAATTAACTATATAAATGCTTAATTTATATTCTATACTCATAACACTATGATATAGCTAGGGTTTAGTGTGTAGTAACTCCGCTATCTACACTAAAGTCATGACTACTGTCTTACTATCATAAAAAAAAGTGAGAATCAATGAAATATTGGAAATCAGCATCTTTTGAAAATAATAATCACAATCTTATCCCATTTTATGAACTCCTACCCTTACACTCCTAAGGAGAATTTCTCTGATTAACTAAAAGCTGTCAGTAAAGACTTCGGATTGGAGGCCGCGCCACATGAATACATGACATCTCCTTTGTTCAACGATGTTCAACGTTCCTTTGTTCATTGAAGTTCAACTATCTTTCTTTGAAAAAAGACGCGATGATAAACCAAGTCTCCACTAATATCTTAATTTCCTTCATCAGTTCCCGTACTTCGTTTCATTGTCACGTTCGATCACCGTAATAAGTCCGAGCTGAAATTATTAAGATAAATACTGTGATGCAGGAAGTCTTAGTTTTGTAATAAAAGATAGTTTGACAAAACCAAGATAAATTTCGTTGATTCTGATTTTAGACGTGACAGGTCATTTCTAGTACACATGGGCTCAAAAGTTTTTTCTCCTCTTTTTCCTGTCACCTGCAGTAAATATTGTCAACGAGTGACTGACCACTCGTGCAGAGACTCTGAACAAAGCAGGACGTTGATCATGGCAGGGCAACAACCTTACGAAGCTCTTCATCAATTTTCAGATTTGATAAGAATCTCCGTTGCAATCCATCACTTATGATCTAGAATAGTAGATTTGGATATTTTAACTAATTATAAAGGCATTCCCATTACATACTTGGTGTTCGGATCCACGGGACTGAGCTGAGCGACTTTGGAGGGCCCATTGAACATGAAAGGTGCAAGAATATGCATAAGCATCTTTGCAAAAGAAAAGGGGAGGGCAATTATTTCCAGAACCAGCAGTAATCCCGTCAGCTCGATAGTCATGTCTCCACATGCCACTACAGTATATCGCAAGCCTATATTAACAATGTGTTCTTTAACAATTACCGATACCTCCCGATCGGTACCGATAACTACGGATCACAAGTAAGAGAGGTTTTGAGCACCATCTCATATGCACCAAGACATGAAGGCTTTTACAATACGTAGTTACGCAGTACCAGTAAATCGTAATGCCGCTACGCGCTTTGGCAGGCAGGATGTTTTACGTACCAGGGAATAAACGACCAAACCCTATCAATTATTGACCCACACTACTTATCACCCAAGAGATCATTGCATCCCTAACTGTAAAAGACATAAGAAAAAGCAGCACATATCCGGAGAAAAAGAAATTGGATGTCTAAGTGTTAGAAGCAAATGTAGAATTAAATGCATATACAATTACATATGACAACTGACCACTAGAAGTAGAGTATGACGATGGTGATAAACTTTTGTTGCATAAATATCGATAAGGATGTGCATTATCATCAGAATAATACGTCTATTTTGGCCTTTAGCGTTGCACTCCAACCAGAGCCCAACATTGGGTGCCCATACCCTTGCCCAAACCCACCCATGCCCATGGGTTTGGGTGACGCTATTTTTCCATGGGTGGGCTTAAGTAATGCTAAGGGCAGTGTTTGTCCATGCCCATCCAAGAATTGGAGTAACCGGTGGATACACATAACACAATTGGCTTAATTTGAATAGCATGGTTGGGCACGGGTAATGGTGTGGGTGCGTTTAGGTCGCAGCTGATGGTTGTGGTCTGGTCTGGGCGCAGATTTGAAATAAAATGTTGGCCTCTCACTCGAATTAAAGACCATGATCTTATTCTCCGCCATCGTTTGGAGTCAGTGAAGCCAGACAGTCGATGTATTGAAGTATGATCTGTGAATCGAAAAGCCACGAGCTGCAACGTGCTTGGAACTTCACTCATGATTAATGTCAACGATCACCCGACATTTCATATCGACTGGACTGGATTTCTGTCATGGATTCCACGAAACCCGTCTTCGGACGGCATAAGTTGAGAACCTGAGACCAAAATCCTCAAAAGCACAACACTGAAGCCATCTTGAATAATTGCCAGATTTAAGGCCGAATGTTTTATCACGTTAGATTGAGAAGGTTGGCCAGTGCGATGTGGCTCGTAATCCAGCCTCCGACAGCTTCCCAATGCATGACTCTCTGTCCGTCAGCATTTCTTGAAGCCTCATCAAGTAACCAGATTCAAATGAAAATCAGTGAACACCCAAATAAATAGCCACAGACGAGAAGGTTCTTTCAGGTTCGAGCTTTGAATTCATTCTAGCTGTGATCGCCAGCACATAAAAAGAGTCTGCACAAGCTGCTTTGATTTTCATTTCACCTGCAGCGCTCGGTAGTCATGGCTCTCTCGCGTCATTTGTGTGTTCTCTTGCTACTGGCAGCCGTGACTGCTGAAGCTGCCAAGATCCAGACTTACAAAGAGAAGGGCTGTTCTGGAGACCTTACGAACACCTTCACGGTCGTGTGTAACTCTTGCCAGACATTCTCCGACCAATCCTCCGTGAAAATCAGCGACGTCCAAGCCAAGAATCGCATTTCCATTCACAATCGGAAGAACTGTGAAAACTACTCCAAAGTTGCTGAAATACACGGAGGAGCTTGTGTGAACCAGGGCAAAGCCAAGATTCGCGCTGTCTACATTGCGTGCTGATCCCCCAATGATGCCTTTGTCCATCAGGTATACTCTCCAGAAGACAACTTCTGAACTTAGATCGCAAGTATATTTTAGCTGACTGATGTAGCGATTCTTCTCTCAAGAATTCTGATTAGACGTGCAATGCTGTCTCCAATTATGTGCTGGGTACGTTCGCTGCTAATGGAATATGAATGAGTTCCAGCTCTGTCATTGACAAGTTGCATGTATGATGATGGAATTCTGTCTGTGCAGGCACGGCTTCTGGATCATGTCGTCGGTGTCTTGATCCGGGTTCGCTATCGCCCGAAGTATTGGCTAATATTCATAGTAGCAATGCATTCATTAAACTGGGAATAAATTGTGGACGAAGATGTATCTAGATTATGAAGTGTGCCGCTTGTGGACGGATTATAGTGGGAAACGACTTCTGGAAGTAAAAATCTTGAATGAGCCTTGTCGAGTTTGATATTACTCGGTCGAGTCTCCGCCTTCTTTATTATTCTTACACTAGCTCGCTACCCCAGAATGTCTGTGGACATTGGCAAGATAAATATAAGAAATTACTTTTCATTGCTTTCAAAAAGCTGATTGATCCTGTTGATCTGGACGACCTGAAAATATTGGTATGAAATTATACTGATTCAAGTCTTGCTTGGAATCGAGCTCAACCCATTGATATTGACTTTTCGGGTGTTTATGGTGACCATTTCAAAAAGTGTGAGTGTGAGATAAGTTTCCACCCGGTCGTTTTCAAATATTGCAATGATCAAAGCCAATCCACGTACTTTTCTGCAAAATTCAAGCCTTCTGTACACGATAGGTGCAAAATCTTTCCACTGTCGTATTACGCGCTTAATACATCGAAAATCATGTCATTCTTGGGAACGAATGGTGGAAGTTTGCAATATTTTCAAGCAAAATTTTTCAGTTTGTCTCTCGCTCAGTTCTTAAGTGAAACCCAAGACTCAAAGCAAAAGTTAATCTTATATATAACTTGCTACTCTTATCCTGCATGTAGGAATCTTACATAAATAGTATATCTTATATGTATGTAAGTAAGCTACAATATCAGGTTATGACACGAGAGCAGCTCAAAAGAACTAGAAGTTATTTTCTTACATGGCACTACAATCGCTAACTTTTTAGAGAGTTTTTTACTACTCGACTCTCGTTTTGCATTTCACTCGAAATTTGCTCTGGAATCTGTACTCGTCTAAAAGCAAGGCTAGAGATTGTATAAATGTGTCACTGATCTTTAACTGCTTTCTTCTGATTTAAAGTTTTATTCCAACCGAATTGCTGATACTTGTTGGGAGATTTCGCAAACTTTGCTAAACTCGGCACATCGCAGAAAATTTCCTTCAGTGCAGAAGTATTTGTTTCTACTCTGATTCTACTTTCACTGTCACTACTTGCCATGAAGACAACAGATACTATTAGTTGGGGAGATGCCAGATGATGGTTAAGAACATGGAGAGAGAACATGAAGATGTGGATTGATTACCTTGTAAACATCCAACCAATTGGGTACAAAGTTATATAGCAAAAAAGTATGGGAAAAAACATCAAGTAGTGCGACCATGAGACATTATCGGAGAGTCTTATGGAACCAGTGTGCTACTCAAAATCGTTCATGATATGTGAGAGTTCTTGTCAATGTTTCCAAGTCTCAAATGACAACTCAATGTGTTTTAATAGTATAGAGCAACCTTTGATATTGTATTGACATATTTACTTTGATATACAACTCTTGCTAGTTGTAGCTAGGACTTGGCAAAGTAATGTAACCCGGTAAATTGGTAAAAGTTAGAGGTAAAAAGTAAAGGCTAGGCTAGAGGTAAAGTAAAAATAAAATCTAATGGATTACTCGATAATTATTGGGTAACCTTTGATCATTGCAAAAATTTGCCACAAAGTTCATAGCGCGGTTGTGTAGTAAGTGGCAGACTTCCAAATTCTAACTCAATTCCAAGTGATAATTCTTTTTAGGGTTTCGGAGTTGCAGATAAAGTAAAAATAAGGGCCATGTATTTTCCGGTAATTTTTTTTCGTTGCCTTGCCAAGGCAATGATGTTTTAATTATAAATAACATAATAATCTAAACTATTTAACTAGGGTGAGAGGTACATGTGAATCTAGAATAGCCTACTTTATTCAATGACTAGATTATAATTCTACAAGAAATCTATGCTATCATGTTGGGGACATGTACTATCAACCTTTAGTTTATTATATACATTTATTAAGGAAAACTTATATTCATTATTGTACACAACATTAACTTTCATAATCCATAGAACATGAGGCACTTTAATTAATGAGTATCCATATGTATAGACTGCGTTCTCTTTTGTTAATATACCTCATGTCCACTGGTACATATTATACGTTATCTTACAATTGGGGTCTAGCTTGTTTTCACCTCTTTAAAAGTCGAAGGGTGTTCCCATCATTTTTGCAGTATTACTTGGTTCCCAACTATTCTGTAGTCCAGTGTCCGGTAGTCCAACGATGAGGAACATACGGGCATGTGCGATGAAACAGGACGCCCGGTCATTTGCAGAGAGGATTGCACACAAAAACGTGGATCATACGCGAACCCTTTTTTGGCTTATTCCCGTGACGCGATGATGACATTGTGTTCAATTCCTAGACGCGATAGTCACTCCTAATACTTTGCACACATGAATACGTGTGCAAAGTATTCATCCAAGATGACTTAGACGGCAGTGGGTGTGGTTGTACATTATATCCCAACACTACGGTTAGCATTTGAACCCACAATAAATAGAATTCGATCTACCGCTTCACATCCGTTTAAGGTCTCCAAAATGAAAACTCTAATCAGATTTTCGTTTCCAAGCCCTTTGCTACTTGATCCACAAAATATATATTGCATTAAAATTTTTTTTATCTATTATCCTTCAACAAAGTCTACTTGCAAACATCATTTTTTTCAATCTCGTAAATTGTCTAAACTCATTTTTTAGTGTTCCTACTTTTGATACCAATTGTAATAAGAAATACACAAGAATTCATTATTCACATTGCGTGATTCAATGTTCTCGAATTACTTTTATGGGAATAAGAATTTCTTTATTGAAAATACCTGCAAATTATTCAGTGCAAGCTGTGTTTAGCCCTCTTATTCATATACGATAGCTGAATCCTAAGGTCTTATAATAACGTTAATCCAAGATATTATAATAAGATTTTAATTCAAAATTTGCATTTCTAACTCAAATGGAGCCAAAATTTTGAACATGAGAACAAAATTTGTGTGCAAATTTGTGTACACTTTTTTATAAAGAATAATGTACAATAATTTTATAAATATAATTTAAATGAAAGAAAAAAATTTAATTTTTTACATTCAAATTTCACATGATTAAATTGATTTTGAGTTCAAATTGACAGTCATAAATTCACACAAAGTTACAAATTCATGATTAAAACTAAGGATAAAAAAATATGTATGAGGTATAATTTTTGAAATATATAATTATTCTCAATAAAACTCTTTAGAAAAATCTTTTGAATTTAAATTTTAAAGTTGATTGATACAATCTTTTAATATTAATGACAAATTCTATATTTTTGAAATCTTTGTATTTTTTTAATAAAAACATATGATTGAAATTTTCTATTAAATACATGTAAAAATTAATTTATTTTTTTCAAAAAATTAAGAAAATATTATCAAATGAAGCCAAAAGTATTACATTGAAATTAAAAATAAAATACAAATGATTGATATAAAAAGTTCAAGAAATTTTTCTAGGACCAAGCACTCATACATTTTTATATCAAGTTTCATGTACACGAAAAATCGTCACTACGAAAATCAATGATTGTCAAAATTAAAACCTGACTATGAATGATTTTGTGTGTTGAAATATTTTGATCTTTTTAATGCTGTTATTTGTCATTTGACATCTTAGCGATTATAAATAAGTAATATAATAAAAGACTTCATATTATCGATTTTGAAAAATGGATTTTGCAATTTATTGTGCAAGCTTTTTTTAAACTCTCATTGTCATACAACTGCTTACACGTTCAATCATTTTTATAGAAATGGGCATTTACCGTATAGAAAAAATGTAATATTCATGAGAATACCTCTTGCTTTTGCTTTAACAGAAGATGAATTTTAAGATCTACAAGTCGTACTATAGCGAAAGCTAGAGAAGTACTATGTGAATGTGAATCTTGATATACATTCATATAGTACTTTTCTAGCTTTGGAAATAGTACCGCATAAAGATCAAGATTAACATTCATAATCACAATCATTTCAAAAGAAAAAACACTTATTTTTTCCTTCCAACTTTGATTTTAAACCATTTGAAGGTCAAGACTGATATTTATAGTGACAAGCGTTTCTAAATAATCGACACATTTGTTACTTTTCTAGCCCAAGCTATGATATCATATGTTCACTAAGATCGACATTCATAGTGATAAGCATTTCCAAAGAGTCAATACACAAATCATGATTAGTCTTAGTAAGGTTATGTCCACATAACGCAGAGGATCTCTTATTACAAGCCCTTTATATGAAAATCTTTTATTGAAAACTTAACTATATAAATGCTTAACTTATATTCTATACTCATAACGCTATGATATAGCTAGGGTTTAGCGTGCAATAACTCCGCTATCTACACTAAAGTCATGACTACTGTCTTGCTATCATATGTCCTACAGGGCATCTAACTAACTAAGGGTGCCTTACAAAAGAAGTGAGAATCAATGAAATATTGGAAATCAGCATCTTTTGAAAATAATATGCACAATCCTATCCCATTTTCTGAACTCCTACCCTTACACTCCTAAGGAAAATTTCTCGGAATAACTAAAAGCTGTCAGTTAAGACTTCGGATTGGAGGCCGCGCCACATGAATACATGACATCTCCTTTTCACATTCGAAGCCCAACGATCTTTCTTTGAAAAAGACGCGATGATAAACCAAGTGTCCACTAATATCTTAATTTCCTTCATAAGTTCACGTACTTCGTCTCATTGTCATTGTCACGTTCGATCACCTTAAGTAGTCCGAGCTGAAATTATTAAGATAAATAATACTTTGATGCAGGAAGTCTTAGTTTTGTCATAAACGATATTTTCACAAAACCAAGATAAATTTCGTTGATTCTAATTTTAGACGTGACAGGTCATAGATAGTACACATGGGCTCACAAAGTTTTTCTCCTCTTTTTCCTGTCATCTGCTGTAAATATTGTCAACGAGAGTGACTGACCACTCGTGCAGAGACTCTGAACAAAGCAGGACCTTGATCATGGCATAGCAACAACCCTTCGAAGCTCTTCATCAATTTTCAGAGCTGTTAAGAATCTGCGTTGCACTCCACCACTTATGATCTAGAATAGTAGATTTGGGAATTGTAACTGATTATAGAGGCATTCCCATGACGTACTTGGTGTTCGGATCCACGGGACATCTAGAGCTGAGCGATTTTGGAGGGCCCATTGAGCATGAAAGATGCAAGAATATGCGTAAGCATCTTTGCAAAAGAAAAGGGTAGTACATTTATTTCCAGAACCAGCAGTAATCCTCAACATGTCACCACATCAGATCACAAGTATACTTATATTAACAATGTGGGACTATTGTTAACCAGAAATGGGAGCGGCCAGTTTTCCTTGACTTTTGGTTATATATACTTTAGCCTGCTATACTCTCTTCTGTATAGGTATGTGATTTGTAAGATGGAGGAACGGAAGGTGATGTAATTTTCGATACTCCAGTCCTATGTGAGCAAAAGAACAAACACGCCATCAGAAAACTCCGTGGTTCCTAACTTACAAGACGTACTACATGTAGACCTTAAATTTCAAGCCTTGACCTCTTACCGTGCCAATTCTGACCAGTAGGTTCCATGTAAGTGCTGATCACTTGCTCGGACCTACAACCGTTCAACATCCATGAGAATGTGTACAAATGACATTAATTACATCATTCAATTACATATGACAATTGACCACTAGAAGTAGAGTATGACGATGGTCATAAACTTTTGTTGCATGAATATCGACAAGGATGTGCACTATCATCAGAATCATACGTCTATTATGGCCTTTAGCGTTGCACTCCAACTAAAGACCAAGATCTTATTCTCCGCCATCGTTTGGAGTTAGTAAAGCGAGACAGTCGCTGTATTGAAGTACATATATGATCTGTGAAAAGCCACGAGCTGCAACGTGCTTGGAACTTCACTCATGATTAATGTCAACGATCACCCGACATTTCATATCGACTGGACTGGATTTCTGTCATGGATTCCACGAAACCCGTCTTCGGACGGCATAAGTTGAGAACCTGAGACCGAAGTCCTCAAAAGCACAACACTCAAGCCATCTTGAATAATTGCCAGATTTAAGGCCGAATGCTTTATCACGTTAGATTGAGAAGGTTGGCCAGTGCGATGTGGCTCGTAATCCAGCTTCCGACAGCTTCCCAATGCATGACTCTCTGCCCATCAGCATTTCTTGAAGCCTCATCAAGTAACCAGATTCAAATGAAAATCAGTGAACACCCAAATAAATAGCCACAAACGAGAAGGTTCTTTCAGGTTCGAGCTTTGAAGTCATTCTAGCTGTGATCGCCAGCACATAAAAAGAGTCTGCACAAGCTGCTTTGATTTTCATTTCACCTGCAGCGCTCGGTAGTCATGGCTCTCTCGCGTCATTTGTGTGTTCTCTTGCTACTGGCAGCCGTGACTGCTGAAGCTGCCAAGATCCAGACTTACAAAGAGAAGGGCTGTTCTGGAGACCTTACGAACACCTTCACGGTCGTGTGTAACTCTTGCCAGACATTCTCCGACCAATCCTCCGTGAAAATCAGCGACGTCCAAGCCAAGAATCGCATTTCCATTCACGATCGGAAGAACTGTGAAAACTACTCCAAAGTTGCTGAAATATACGGAGGAGCTTGTGTGAACCAGGTCAAAACCAAGATTCGCGCTGTCTACATTGCGTGCTGATCCCCCAACGATGCCTTTGTCCATCAGGTATACTCTCCAGAAGACAACTTCTGAACTTAGATCGCAAGTATATTTTTGCTGACTGATGTAGCGAGGGCTGCAGATCGTGAGATTCTTCTCTCAAGAATCCTGATAAGACGTGCAATGCTGTTTCCATTTTTGTGCTGGGTACGTTCGCTGCTACTGGAATATGAATGAGTTCCAGCTCTGTCATTGACAAGTTGCATGTATGATGATGGAATTCTGTCTGTGCAGGCACGGCTTCTGGATCATGTCGTGGTGTCTTGATCCGGGTTCGCTATGGCCCAAAGTATAGGCCAGTATTCAGATTAGCAATGCATGCATTAAACTGGGAATAAATTTTGGGCGAATATGTGTTTAGATTATGAAGTGTGCCGCTTGTGGACGGATTATAGTGGGAAACGACTTCTGGAAGTAAAAATCTTGAATGAGCCTTGTCGAGTTTGATATTACTCCGTCGAGTCTCCACCTACTTTATTATTCTTACACTCGCTCGCTACCCCAGAATGTCTGTGGATATTACGAGATAAGTATAAAAAATTACTTTTCATCGGATTGCGCTTGGAACCCCTCTCAGAGCAATGCTGGATTCATAAAACCGGTGAGAAATGCGAAGCTGCATACCAAAGTGCAGAGTATGTGACGGGGGTTCTAGATCGCTCAACTTATATTTTGATTTTATCTTGTGTATAACTTGCCCTTGTGATTCTTGCCAGCTTCACTGCAGTCATCGCCTTGTAAACCCCCAGTGCTTCTCTCTGGGCGAACAGCTAGAACTTGCCCTGGGTTCATTATATATACGTACCTTAAGTGTACACATCTGAACATTGCGTGATAGCACATTCCATGTTGAGATTCCGATGTATATTTTATATTGGACGGTGTACTCACCACAACCGATCTGCTTGATATTCAAAGTCATGGCGAGTATGCATGTGAAATAAATAGATGATTTATTCTAATTGAGTTTCACTTTGCTTGGTATGTGGATCTATACTTCATATTTTTATTAGTAGTATTTTGATTCAATAATGCATCACACTACTCGATTATTCGGAATGAAATACTTACTCATAATTTATCATGGATGTTGTCTTTGCTATGACACATGTAAAAAGATAGCATATATGGAGGAAGTGTTGGTAAATCAGATTTACATTTAGTAATGGAATCATTTCAGTATTGATGATTATCGATCCAAGACGTGAGATGAGACGTGTCATATGCAGCGAGTTGAGCAACAACAGAAAAAATCACTTGGCTTAGGGCTATGCAAAGATAGTAACTCTTTATTTATCTTGCATTGACATTATATAAAGTTATGAATGAGCACTTCGATATGTTCGTAATAGAATGTGCAAAACCCTACGATATATGATTATATGCTATCGTTTTCGGTGTATCATTTGTTAGTAATGGGTTTTTTATGCTCTTAACAGAGCAATAGTCGATTCCTATTTATGATAAATCAATCACATAAGCTAATGTAGTGTTAAATGATCCTGATAATTGAAACCCATTTTTCTTGATAGTTAAGAATTTATAGGTGCCATATGACATAATTCTCCTTGTGATACTATTAGGGTTAGGCGTCTGATTTGGACTTAGTTTTCTTTCCATGTACACCCTCAACAAGCGTCTCCCACACGTTTTTTTTATCTACTTGGCCCCGGTTAAAATATTTCTATATTTAAAATTTAAAAGGCCGAAGATACCGTGGATAGCAACATTAAGCTAAAGGCTATTGCGAACCTGAAACTCCACCGTAGAGAGAAGAAAGAAAAGAAGAAACTAGGCTGAGAGGGCTGTGTTAAATCGGATAGACGTTAAAAATTGAACCAGTACCAGAGTTGGAAATATGGCAAATTTGAGAGTACATGGGTTTGATTCTGGTTGGAGTTGTAGACCTCTAATTGTATCTCTTGAGAAGATGCAATTATATGTCCTCTTCAATTGTACTGCAGTAGCATGTCATTTTGCAAGCTACAATATCAGGTTATGACACGAGAGCAGCTCAAAAGAACTAGAAGTTATTTTCTTACATGGCACTACAATCGCTAACTTTTTAGAGAGTTTTTTACTACTCGACTCTCGTTTTGCATTTCACTCGAAATTTGCGTCTAAAAGCAAGGCTAGAGATTGTATGAATGTGTCACTGATCTTTAACTGCTTTCTTCTTATTTAAAGTTTTATTCCAACCGAATTGCTGATACTTGTTGAGAGATTTCGCAAACTTTGTTAAACTAGGCACATTGCAGAAGATTATATTCAGTGCAGTAGTATTTGTTTCTACTATATTTCTACTTTCACTGTCACTTCTTGCCATGAAGACAACAAACGCTGTTAGTTGGGGAGATGCTAGATGATAGTGAAGAACATGGAGAGAGATGAATGAAGATGTGGATTGATTACCTTGTAAACATCCAACCAATCGGGTACAAATTATATAGCAAAGAAGTATGGGAAAAAGCATCAAGTTCGTGCGGGCATGAGACTATTCTAAAACATTATCGGAGAATCTTATGAAACCAGCATGCTACTTGAATTCGTTCATGATATGTGAGAGTTGTTGTCAATATTTCCAAGTCCCAAATGAGAACTATACGTGTTTTAATAACATATTTACTTTGATATACAACTCTCGCTAGTTGTATCTTCTGACTCCGGGAATGATGTTTCATTTATAAACAACATAAGTATCTAAACTATTTACCTCGGGTTAGAGTTACATTTGAGTCACAAATAGCCTACTTTACTCAATGAGTAGATTATAATTTTATTAGAAATCTATGTTATCATGATGTGTGACATGTACTATCACCCTTTAGTTTATTATGTTATTATATTTATTAAGGCAAACTTATATTCATTATTGTACACAACATTAATGGGCATGAACATGAAGTACTTTAATTGATGAGTATTCATATGTATAGACTATATTTATCAATAGAAAATATATTTCATCTCCATTAGTACATATTATGCGTTATTAAACTATTTGGGTCTAGCTTCTCTTCACCTTGGTAAAAATCGAAGGGTGTTTCCATCATTTTTGCAATATTACTTCGTTCCCGACTATTTTGTAGTCTAGTGTCGGGTATAGGGATGGGCAAGGCTCGGCTAACCGCTAGCTGTTGGCTCATCGGGTTGAGTCGGTGAGTGCTTTGTGTCAAGATATGCTTGACGCAAAGTTGGTCTGACGATTTACTGTGCAAACTCTGTTTGCTCTTTTGCATTGTCAATGTAAACAGACCCTCTAATCTTGCTTACTTCAGTTGAGGTTTTATATTTACCTTTGTATCTCACTTGGAACAAAATTCTGTCTCTAAAACCTCGAGCTGCAACCTCCGGGCTGACTCTCACTGAGATTTAACTTAGATGGCTTTTCGGTAGCTCATCATGGTTCTAGAGTACTAGGATTCCTCCTCATACTCATAGCTTTGTAAAACCGGGTGTTGCACATATGTACTAAGTCTTAGAAGTGGTCAAGTGATTAAGGATGATTAGCCAAGTCATAGTTAAGTCTAGCTAGTTATGACTAAACTAGTTAGTTATAACAAGTTTATCTAGTCATGACTAAGTTTAGCTATGATGTCTATAGTTGGTGGAAATATTAGCGGAGTTCTAGAAACATAGTTGGTGTAATATTAGCGAAGTTTCAGTACCTTGGAGTGTTGATGAGTGTGTGAGTTGGAGTGCTAACTTGAGTGATTGTGTGAGTGAGTGTTTGGGCTGTGAGTGTGGGGATGAATCCTAGTCTTCTAGAACCATGATGCGCTACCGCAAAGCCATTAGAGATAAATCTGAGTGAGAGTTAGCCCGGAGGTTGCAACCCAAAGACTCTCTCACACAATCTCTCAAGGTATCACTCAAAGTCACACACACCTCGACACTCCAATGTACTGAAAATTCGTCACTGCTTCATATATGAAACAAGTCTCTACATATGAACTCTCCAAACTTGCTTGAGAGGCTCTTCGTTACCTCTGTAGATATACTACTTGAAAATTTACCATAGTAACAAATGATAATTCCTATCTAACTTACTTTTACAAAGATAAACTATAGTAAGGTTGACTAGTTATCAATATGTGGCAACATGCCATTGGCCTCCTAAACCTTCTAAATATTTACTAATCTCTAGATTGAGGTGGCGATATGCTATTTGTGACTTTCCAACTTCTAGATTTTCCACTTTCCACTAAGTCAACATAAGACTTAGTCTAACCAATGGAGTATTCATTACTTAGTCAAACAAATCAAATCTAAACATGAAGTGAAAAAGTATTTTCTCTTGAAATCTAAACTTTTGTACAAGACAAAATAGAAATGCTCACTCAAATCTTCTAGAACTTCTCTAGTTATTCCGCCAAGTATATTCATTATAACTAAACTAGCTACAACTAGTTATAACTAGCTAGATTTGATCATAACTATCATAACCATGATTAAATCATTGGCTAATTTTAGTTTTATTTCACATATGCAATATCCGATCTTACAGTACCTAATGCGTCAATAGCCAACTTGATAGGGCGGTTAGTATCATACCACTTGAGGATAGGTGCGTGTAACAAAGCATCTTTCAATGCTTAAAAAACTAACTCTTGAGTTGATTCCCATCTCCATTTTTGACCTTTCCCTAACATGGAAGTTTTTTACTCTTGAGCTAGGCGAGCAAAACCTTTAACAAATCTACGATAGAATCCAATGAGTACTAGAAAACTCTTTAACTGAATTTGATTCTCCTGTGCTGTCCATTTCTTAATGCCATCTATCTTGTCACTCAACACTTGGATTCCTGCACCTTTAACTCTATGACCCAATTAATCTACTTCTGACTTGCCAAATTCACACTTTGAAGCTTTGTGTAACACTAGGGTTTAGAGAGAAGTTCACTCGAAAATAGATCGTAAACTTTGAAGATGAGAGATACCAACAATGGTTCTCCTCTCCCTTATATAGCTCTCACCAACAAGTACAAGGTGATAAGATCTAATCCCCACCATCCATCCACTCCTAGTGGATGGATGACGTGGCGGATAACCCTAACAAGCACACGGATCGCTGACGTGGCGCACCCAACTAACACACTCAATCCTTACCTCCAAGCACACGGATTGCTGACGTGGCACTGTCAACTAACACATCCACTCTGTACCTATCAAGTGCGCGGATCGCTGACGTGGCAGCTATGACTAGTGCACACTAAAGTATCTACATCAATATTCAGAGTAACCTCTACTTTAGTTCTAACTAACTAAAGATGGTTACAAACCTCCCTCCTTTTAAGATGCAACGTCCTCGTTGCACATACGTTCAAACTCCTGAACTATCAAAGGTGCATTTGCTAAATTTTTAGCTGGTTCCCAAGTTGATTTATACGATGGATAACCTTTCCATTGAATCAAATACTCTACTTTGGGATATTTATGACCTTGAATACGTTTCTTGAGTATCTTTTCTACCTCAAACTCCTCATGATCTGCTATCAAGGTTGGAAGAGGAGGTCGTGCTGGTTGGTTGGTGAATTGTTTTGGTCGTTGTACATGTTTTCTCAATCGTGACACATGAAATACTGGATGTATTTTCTGTAATAACCCACCAAAGGCTAAAACTGCAGTATGGTGGTAAAAAGATCGAACCGACAGGGACAGAGGCAACACACAGAGTAAAAAGTGTCACGTTTAACAGACTTTTGTAGAGTTTGAATTCTCAGGCGACTGTCACTCCCAGAAATACTGCAGTGCTCGACTCGGAGGCTCGACTCGGAGGAGGATCTCGACTCGGAGGATGCTCGGAGGATGCACAGTACAGCGTGGTCACTCAACACACACACACACAC